CACCCCCCCAATGCGGTCTTCCCCTCCATGCCTTTCATCACTGCACCTCCGGCCTCTGCCAGTATTCACCATCTGGTTAGCTGCAACTCTTCTTCTATGAAACCCTTTTTTACCATGCAACGTGTAGTAAACACTTGCCTCTGCCATTTATATGGCACTTGTTTTTAACTTGTTTATGTGTCTAGTAAGCTCTTATGAAGAGAGAAATTGAAATTTGTTGAATGCCTGCTGCGTACAGGCTGTGCAAGGTAGCGACCTTGTCTTTGCCTCTTAAATGGTAACGGTCTTACCTCTGACTGACCAGTGGCCTCGCCCCCATCCTGGTCAGGCCCACTTGGGAGCTTCTCCTTGCCAGAGGAGGCACTGGAGCCTTGGGCGGTAGGAGCCTGCCTTTGCTCGGTAACCTGGGCTTTCCTTCTGCAGCACTGTAATGGCGTCGACTGGCGTCAGAAGCTGGACTCTCAGCGAGGGGCCGTCATTGCTACCGAGTTGAAGAACAACAGTTACAAGCTGGCCCGGTGGACCTGCTGCGCTTTGCTGGCCGGATCCGAGTACCTCAAGCTTGGGTGAGGGTCCTGGCCGGGATCTGTGGTAGAAAGACGAGGGCTTGCCTTTTCCCCTTTGCTTTGGGAAAGGCATCACGCTCAGTGTCCCCATGTAACTGATATTTGCCCCCAGGTGTTGCTGTGTCTCTGGGCCACCCCCACCACTAACACCGCATTTCCCCCACTAGTTACGTGTCCCGGTACCACGTGAAGGACTCCTCGCGCCACGTCATCCTGGGCACCCAGCAGTTCAAGCCCAATGAGTTTGCCAGCCAGATCAACCTGAGCGTGGAGAACGCCTGGGGCATCCTGCGCTGTGTCATCGACATTTGCATGAAGCTGGAGGAGGGCAAGTACCTCATCCTCAAGGACCCCAACAAGCAGGTCATCCGCGTCTACAGCCTGCCCGATGGCACCTTCAGCTCTGACGAGGACGACGAGGATGAGGAGGAGGAGGAAGAGGAGGAAGAAGGTTTGTAGCAGGCCTTGCTCTGGAGGCTCGAGGGAGCGGTGGGCTAGCTAGGACCTGGCTCCGCATCCTCCGGGCCTTCGAGCTTTGATGCAAAACCTGTTGAGAGTCCCCCGAGGCTTACTGTGGAGTAGCATTCACTCCGACTCCTAGAGCTGCTTCAAGAGCCTTTAGGCCTCATGAAGGGGATGGGAAGGAGAGTGGTCTTCTAGAGCAGGGGTCCCCAACCCCCAGGCCATGTATTGGTACTAGCCTGCATAGCAGGAACCGCAGGCTAGCGAGCGAAGCTTCATCTGTGTTTGCAGCCGCTCCCCAGCGCTAGCATCACCACCTCAGCTCTGCCTCAGATCGTCGGGCATTAAATTCTCATAGGAGCACCAGTTCCTGGTGCCAAAAAGATTGGGGACCGCTGATCGAAAGGCTGTTCTAGAGGCTCGGGTGAGGAGGACAGTAGGAGTCCCTGATGTTAGTCAGTGGGCTGAAGGAGAAAAGATGCTCCAGGTAGTTACACAGGTTAGTTAAGCTGTCTTTCCTGCTTCACAAGCTGGTGTCTGCAGGAAATAATCTGTTAACCTGCGAGATCTAAAGGCTTAACTGTTAGTGGTGGTGTTAAAAATTCTAAGCAGTTCACCAGTTTGACATGACTCATTTCTCTAACATTTTGTATCTTTCAGAGGAAGAAACTTAAAAGGAGCAGGATTTTAAATCCACCAAGTCCGGGAGGCCCTTGGATGCCTGATGGGACTTTTGTCTGATAATTGCCCTCCGAAGCGTGTTGCCAGATGGAATAAAGCATGAGTCTCTTCAGTCTTATAACCTCATCACATGCCTGCACCATGATTAACAGCCCCTCTTGCTTCTCCAAGTAGCCCTTGGGAGAGGGAGGGTGAGATACAGAAGTTTCTGTCTGGAGTTCGTAATATTGGTTCCATCATTTGTTTTTGAGCATTATTAGTTTTCCTTTTAGAGGGTGAACACCCTAGATTTTTCTGTTCTTGGAACCCCATGAAATTATCCTTTCCTGGAGTGTTATCAATTGCGAGGTCCTTTATGGAAGTCCCCGTAAGAAGTCCATTTCCACACACACGAGTGCTTGCTGGTTGTGTGCCACCCTCAAAGACATAAGTCATTAGTCGAGGTGAAGCCGGTCACGGTGTTTGTTAGGTGAGGCGGGGTTGCTGCTCACAGAGACTTCTGCAGAAGGTCCTGATATGTCCCACCAGGTGGCGATCATAATGGTTTGTAAATTGTGATCAAGCTTGGCTTGGGCTGGTGACAGTCTCAAGCTGGCACCCTCAAAGCAATGTGTCATAAACAGATCGGAGCTACAGGCGTTTAGGATATGTAAACTTGTTCTTATCAGGGGCTAGTGTTCTCTTCTTGACACTGGAAAATAATTACTCTGCCAGGTATACTAAGCTTTCTAGAAACATCTCACCAAGTCTGACACAGAACTTAAGATGCTGGCAGAAGCGATAGCATTGTATAGGTGAGGAAGATCTCAGCTTTTGAGTAAAATTTCCAAAGCTATTTTAATCAAAATAATTGAGCCTCAAAAACTAAGCAAAAATATATTGGACTTTGTTAGAGTTATTAGGAAGATAGAGCATAAAGCATACTTCTTAGGGAGTTTTCAGTGAGAGTTGAGTATTAAAAAGTACACATTCAAGCAGTGTGGAAGATGCCAAGGGCTTTCAGAATTGGACTGGCACCAAGCTGCCTCTTGCAGACTGATGCAGTCCAGCGGGATTTGCTGCAGCCGGTGAGCCGGTGGAAGTTTCACACTCTCAAAACATTTTGCATCAGCTTCCATACACTTCATTTCTTTGTCCCCTCCTTTCATCCGTCCTGCTTAGAACCACCAAGTTGATTGCTGAAAACGGTCCTGACAAAAAACCTTGGATAGCATCCTGCTGCCTACAATCAGGCTCAATCTAGTCTCAAAACCCTGCCACAACTTCTCAGTCTTAATTTCCCACTCCTCACTATGTAAGACCAGCAACTATTTTAGGTACTTAAATTTGCCAGCCTCCATTCTCAATCACAACCACCAAGAAGTAGACCTCCTTACCTTATCTTTGGTTAAGTATTTTGCCCAGCCTGTCCGGCTTCAATGGTCATTCAACAAATGCTTACTAGGAGCCCCCTATGTGGCCTCAAATACTGGAGAAAGCACTATGGTCACCATAGTGAATAAGATCTTTCAAGTGGCATTCCTTAATGGGTACTTTGGTCTAAGAGATCAAGGAAGACTAGAGAGGTCCCAGCTATTTTTAATGAAAAGAAGCTTCAGCCATGCAAACCTGGGTGACTGAAGTTCTTTACACACTAGGCATGGATGGCTGCCTTCCCACGAGAACCCTCAGCCCTGTCTCACTTGACTGCTTAATGTCCCTTGCAGGTTCATGTACTTCGCTCACAAATGCACTATCTTCTGCCCGTGTAAATCTCGATAAAAACTAAGTTTTTTTTAAAAATTGAGATTTTAACTGGGCATAATCAGGGTCTATGGGAGGAGCCAGGGTTTATGAGAGTTCTCACACTCCATCATCCTGAGAACCCTACAGGAAGGGCTCTATAGTGGTAACAGCCCGTCCCCTTGACTTCTATAAATTACTCCTTCATTTTTGTCTAGATCAGTGTGTACACGAGGCTCACCATACCTGCATATACTGGATTGCATCCTTTTTCCTACTTTTGATGACCTAATAACTACTTGATTCTATTTCCAAGTCAGTGTTATGCAGGATCCACATTCCACCTCTGGGAAGCCAGCTACAATCATCTAGTTCACGTGAAGGGTGGTTCATGATCATCCTCCCGCCATTTGCCATGTTGCATCTGCTTCAGCCACACCATTACTGTGCATTAGCAGTGCATTTGCGTTTAAGTGTCTTCATACTGGCCTGTCATAGGCCATTTTGTTTACAATATTACCAAGCTTATAAAACATGATTCATGAATGAATAAAAAACATTTTGAAAAGAATGCATAATTTAGAGTAAAAAAGGGGGTTTTAATTTCAAGCTCAACTTTTAACTGTGATCTTAAGTCGTCCCTAAACCTCCAATTAGTCAATGGCAACATAATCATTGCCTACCTCACCAATTGGTGGAAGATAAAGTCAGTCATGACTGTTTCTTGGTAAACAAACTGAATCATTGTAGTGTCCAGGTAGAAATTTCCAACAATTTTAATAAGATTTTATTCGAGCTAAAAAGAGGATATGCCTTGAAATAAGATTTCAACAGCCTGAGAAAAATGCTTCTCAGAATGACAGTTTGTGGCATTTTAAAGAGGGAATGTACAGACTACATGAAGAGAGAAATCAAGACGAGGACTGGATTACACAGTTAAGATTATGTGCTCTCTTAATGGTTTCGCCTGAGGGGGTCTGAAAAGAGGCATATCAAAGATGTGTTAACCTAGATACACAGAACCTATGGACTGGGCTTGCTTTAAGGCAAAGATAAACCTTTTACTAAAGAAGTTACTACATGGTGGGCGTGACTACCCACCATGGCCTGCCCAGTTAGGAATATATGATCAGATCGCTGAGGTTACCTTCTGTAAAACCTCTTTTTTTGTCCACAATGGCAAACACTCGTTAATTGGTTTTTCTGTTCTAGCTTCTCTAACTTGGTTTCCAGCCCCCAAAACATGGGTAGCCAACTAGTCTTTGGCTACATTAATGGTGCAGTGTAAGAGCTGGGATTTTCTCCAAAAAAAATCATCTGCTCCCATGCCTCATAAGTGAAAAAGCACAGCTTTAAAACAAGAGCCCAAGCCCCTGCTGGATGGCTTCTCTGGTCCCTGCCACCCCGAGCTGAGAGCGCCACTGGGGCCTGCACGTGCGACCCTCTTCCCTGCGGCCTAGAGACCACTGCCGCTGCAGACCGCCCCCGACGTGCCTCGCGCCGCGCACGTGACCCCGCCCCCTGCCATTGGCCGCGCTGGAGGGGCGGGGCGGCTCCGGGGCGCCAGCGGGCTGTGCACACACATACCGGTCTCACTCCGCGCGCTGGCTACGGAGCGGCTGCGAGGTGCGAGCTCCCGGGTAGGGGGTGGGCAGGCGGGCCGGGGAGGTCGGAGCTGCGGGCGCGAGCCCCGCGCAGGCTGGGGGAGCGGCTCCGAGAGAGTGCGCACCAGCAGGAGGGCGGCCTCGCGCCCGCGTGGCAGCAGGTGTACTAGGCATCTCTGTCGCGTGGCCAAAGAGACCGGCGCACCTGGAGGGGTCCTTTCAGGACACGACTCCTTCGAGCTGGAGCCCGAGGGCGGGGTCGTGGCCAAAGAGATCTGCCCCCTCGAAAGTCTAACCTGGGGAGAGCACTGGAGGGGTGTTGGACTTCTTTTAAATTAGGGAGAAATTGGGTTAACACCCGCCCTCTTACTACCATGGCTATAAGAAGAGGGCTGGCGCCCCTGGTAACCGAGGACTTGAAGGAGGTGGAGGGGTTGGAGATTCCTGGGAGGAGCTCCAGATCCGAGCTTAAACCTATGGAGTCGTAGCAAATGAGCTCAGAGGTCCTTGGGTTCTTGTCCTGGCTCCACCCCGAATCGCAGTGAGCGCTCAAGGCAAGCCTCTGCCTCTTTCCAGGGCCCTGTTCCTCACTCATTTTTCCGCGCCTTAGGCCATCTGTGGTCCAAGGCCTCACCCATCTGGTCTGCAGCAGGATGGGCCTTTCCCTCGCGGCCCCACTGTGGGGCTCCCCGGGGCTGCTTCTAACCATCGCCCTGTACCCGGCTCTCACCCTGCACCCGGCTAAGGCCTCGGCACCCCCACACCGGGACTACTGCGTCCTGGGCGCCGGGCCCGCGGGCCTGCAGATGGCCTACTTCCTGCAGCGGGCCGGGAGGGACTACGTGGTGTTCGAACGCACCCCGGGGCCAGGCAGCTTCTTCACCCGTTACCCGCGGCACCGCAAGCTCATCAGCATCAACAAGCGGTACACAGGCAGGGCCAACTCCGAGTTCAACCTCCGCCACGACTGGAACTCTCTGCTCAGCCACGACCCCCGGCTGCTCTTCAGACACTATTCCCAGGCCTACTTCCCGGATGCCAGCGAAATGGTGCGCTACCTGGGCGACTTCGCAGACAGGCTGGGGCTCCACGTACTGTACAACACAACCATTGCCCACGTCACTCTGGACAAGGATCCACAGGCCTGGAACGGCCATTACTTCATCCTGACCGACCAGAAGGGTCAGGCATACCAGTGCAGGTAAGGAACCCGGTCCCAGGGCTCACCTGCTGAGCTGGCGCCTCTCCAGGAGGAACCCCTTCATTGGCCTCTTGGTGTGGGAGGAATGGGAGAAATCTGCCACCTATTCTGCTTTCGCTGAAATTCGTGCTCAGCCATCATTTCCCACGTGTCCTAAATTGTGATCAAATATATTTGGAAAATACTAACCAAGTCTTTCCTTAGGGATTTGTCAGCCTTTAATTTCATATTCACCGTGACACTTCAACATTGGACGTTCAGCATTGTCTAAGATTATCCTCAAAACCCTGTTTGTAGAACATCTGGAACTAGTGTTCCCCAAACACATCCTGGGAAATGCTGGAGCCAGTGTTAGAGTGGCTTAGTGTGGGAGGACCTCTAGGCAGTGCTACCAGCATTGTTTTAGCTTGTAAAAAGCTTTATGTCATGTAAACGACCCAAATTCAGAGTCACTCTCTCTACTGCACTTGTTTCATCCCCACCAGGACCCTATAAGGGTGGTTCACTGATCCCTATTTTACAGATGAAGAACTAGAGCTCAGAGAAGTTGAGTGACTGATGCTGTGTCACACAGCTTTTAAGCAGTACAGCTGCAATTTGAGCTCCTATCTTCGTGATCCCAAAGCCCATGTTCTTTCCACTGCACCAGACTGCCTCTCACTTCCTGGCCATTAGCCTAGCACGTGGCTCCCGGCAGGTGCTCAGAGTTCATCTTCTCGTGTCTTTTGCCAGAGCCCCAGCCATGTTCCTTGCTTGTTACAGCCCAGGGAAGGAAGGGTTGGGCCAATTTGGACCCTTGCATTTAGACAGTGTGCTGCAACATAAAGAAGCCAGGTATGAGCAGAGTGGACAAGGGTCAGAAAATGCAGAACGATAGGGGCTGCACATGCCCCTTCTACAGGCCATCCAGTTCAGTTTTTGAAACCACTCTGTGATCAAACCATTTTAATGCAGGCCGGCAGGATCCAGCTTCCCGGAGGGCTGCCCAGCACAGGACCGCAGTCCCCACCAATATCGAGAGCAGGCATCAGGCTGATCTGTGGTCAGAGTCTGGATCTGCTGTCATGGGCCCCCACAGGGCATGTGTCTCCTCACCTGTAAAGCATGACAGGTAACACCAATCAGGGCTGCTCCGAGCAGGAAGATGATGCATAAAACAGTAGTACAGGGCCTGGTAGAGGATCACTGCTCAGCAGATGCCTGCATCTGCCAGGCAAGTCAGGTAAAAGGGGACATCAGATCTCATTCTCTGTCACTGAGAGATATTTGGTCAACCGCTGTGTTCAAATGGGATGAATTATTTGATTTCTGATGGTGCCAGCTTCTCCTGTCAGAGAGTCATTAATTCTAGTATCTGGTATAATTCCAGGGAGAAGTCAGGGAAACGGTCCACTGGAGTGAGCTCAGTGAGGGGTGAAGTCTCAGATACACTGCGGTAGGTCAGTAAACGGATGAGTGAATGTCTTCTCTTTTAGGAGCCAGCAGTCTGGGTGAGGCAGGCGAGCCAGGTGGCAGGTAAAGAGCAATTCTTACTTAGTGTCTTAGAGCTACGAGACTAAGCCATCTTCCTTCTGTCCCCTACTTGTAGCGTCCTTCTTGTCGCCACCGGTTTGTCAGTCCCCAACCTGGTTGACTTCCCTGGCTCTGAATATGTGGAAGGTTACGAGTCCGTGTCCCTGGACCCCAAGGACTTCGAGGGTCAGAATGTGCTGATCCTGGGCCGTGGGAACTCTGCTTTTGAGACGGCAGAGAACATCTTGGGTGTCACCAACTTCATCCACATGCTGAGCCGCTCCCGGGTCCGGCTTTCCTGGGCCACCCACTATGTAGGCGACCTCAGGTATGCCACGCGGCTGCTGCTCGTGTACTCTGTACTCTGACCCCTCTAAGCTGTCCCTGACCCCAGCTGGACTGACCACCCCTTCCTCTGAGTCCCCTTGTACCCTCCATAGACTCCTTTCTCTTTCCTGGCATGTCCCCTCGGCCCCAGGGCCATCAACAATGGCCTGCTGGACACCTACCAGCTGAAGTCGCTGGACGGCTTGCTGGAGTCCGACCTGACAGATCTGGCCATCGTGAAGGACCGCGAGGGCAAGTTCCACATCACCCTAAAGTTCTACTTGGAGGAGGGCAACCAGAGCACCGATGCCATCGCCCTCCCCCAGGACGACAATGACAATTTTGCCATGCGTGTGGCCTACGACCGGGTCATCCGCTGCCTGGGCTGGAACTTCGACTTCTCCATTTTCAACAAGTGAGTCCTCTTGGGGGAGGGGCTAGGAAGCTGTAGCAAATCCCTCTGCCGCCTCCCCTGGGAGCAGTGTCCCCATCCAGCAGGGCCAGCGACAGGGTTTTCAGGACGCCACCCTCAGCATGGGTGAGGATGCTGCCTCGTTTCCCACCCAGGCACAAGCTCTCTGTCCACTGGGCTCCCAGCTGGCCCTCAGACCCTCCCTCCTGGAGCAGCAGCAGTGGCGGGTCTTCACCTGCGTTCTGATCCTCCACCCGGGAGGTGGGAAAACAAGCTCAGACCGAACCAGGAGGTGAATCTGCTGAAAGGCAGTGCGGTGGCCAAGAGCACGGGCTGTGGGGTCAATCCGAGATTGTTTCTTACCGAACCTGTGAGCTCTGGGAAAGTTACTTAACCACGCTGGGCTCCAGTTTCTTGTCACTGAAATGGGAACCATTGTTTCTTTCTCATAGGGCTATTGTGAGGATGAATATAAGAAAGCACTTGGCACGTATCACATTCTCAATAAAACGTTAGCTGCTGAAATTATTTATAATTGTATTTCGAAGAGCTGTTTTGTGGAGCCTCATCTTTAGACATTACTGCCCCAGGATCTTGGCAAGGCCTAGTATCAAAGAATCCAACCAGTGTCTCACTTTCCTTCTGGCCAAGGCACAGGCAGACAAAGAGAAACCTGGAGGGCCTGAGCCAGACCCTCCTGTCCCAATCATCAGGTCACACAAGGCCCAGTCTTAGCCCAGAGCCCAGCCTTGAATCCAGATTGAATCCTGGCCCTGTCTCTGACCCACCACGTCTTTACCCTGAGCCTCAGTGACTCCACCTGTTAAATGGAAATGATTATACCCGCCTCCAGCAATTGTGATGTGGTTTAAATGCAATAAGGAATAAAAAGCCCAGCCTCAGTGCCAGACCTGTAATTAGTGTTTCAGGCACAGCAGCAATTTTTATTAACAACCCTTTCTACTCACAGGTCCCTCAGACTCTCTTCAGGGGGTGAGTTCCGCAAGAAGTATCCACTGGTCAGACCTAGCTACGAGTCCAAAGGAAGCCGGGGTCTTTTTGTCCTGGGTACCGCCAGCCACTCTGTGGACTACCGGAAGTCAGCCGGGGGCTTCATCCATGGATTCAGATATACAGGTGAGCCCAGACAGAACCATCCCAGGGTCTGCCTGAATCCCAGCAGCCTTACAGGGATTGCTCATCAGATGTCCACTGTCATAAATTCCCTGTCTGGGTCAGACAGCCGCGGGTTTTCGTGGTCTGAGGATATGTCTAGAAAAGCATCAGATAAGGTATAAAAGCACGTACACCTGTACAGCTGAAACTTACTGGATTTCATCAACCACCGTCACCATAAATTAATTAATAGCTTTTGTGAAAAAAAAGTGCATACACCTGGGGCAGCATGTTACATGCCTGTGCCCTGTGCTGGAGAGGTGCCACATGTTAGCGAGAACATGGAGCTTGAGGAATGCTAACCTAGGCTCCTGCCCAGCAGGGTGCCCTCACAGGTGAGGCTTCCTAACCTCTCTAAGCCTCTGTGGGACACCCTGACGCCAGAGATATGAGCAAGGGGCACTCCCCCGCCCGCAAGGGGCTGTTGTAAGGACTCAATCAGGCCGTCCCCACGGACCGTGCAGCCCTGAAGCATCACACACACAGACTTTTTGGGTACCAATAAATTTCAGTTGGATTATATTAGTTCTTTACCAGAAGTGTAGGTACTGAGGGTATGAATTTTCCGCACTCTGGGTAGACTGTTGGATGGCTGCTTTATTGTATGGCGGGTGTTACATGAGCCAGTTAATTTTGCCGTAAATACCATGAGGGTCCCGCATCCCGACATTTCTGTATTCAGTTCGATGCCTTGCTCTGCCTTCATGCTCATTTTTGCATTTTGCTCTCCTTCCAGTTTGGCAGGGAAAGATGATCATGTTTTGCTGTTGATTTCCAGATGATATATTTTATCCCCCATGCGTGTTATCAGAGAAGGAGACCAGGGAGAGTGTTAGCTGTCTGCAAAGCAGAACATTTGCAAATTGAGTGCACACACAGAATAAGCGTGTCTCTTCAGCTGTGTCATCATCGCTCCCATGCACGTCACTCTCCCTGCACCCACCATCTCTCTTGCTTCCTTCTGTCCCCTGCTCTTTCCCCACTTCACATACTTAATCCTCATAACAGCCCCATGAGACGGATTCTGTTATTCCAACTCCATTTTGCAGATAAGAAAATTAGGACACAGAGGAGTTAAGTGATATGTCCAAAGTCACCCAACCAGTGGATGGCAGAGGTGGAATTTGAATCCACGCCTGCCTGACTGTAACGCTCATAGCTAACCACTAAGCTTCAGGCAGATGGGAAACAGTCCTGGGTGTATAGGCCACCGATTGCTGTGGTCACCACTACTAGCTGAGGACCCTACCTGAGAGAGGGGCAGTGTGGCAGGACCCAGTACATTCTGCCCAGACCCTGCTCATCATTCAGCTGAGAAACAAGTCTTGGGAGACAAGCAGAAAACAGGCTGAGTAAAACAACAAGAGATGAAAGGTGGGCGGCCCAGACTAACCTCGTGGAAGGTAGGGCATGCCGGAAGCCCTGCCCACCCCGCTCCTGTGTCTCTCCATCACTGCCTCACTCTCCTGACTTGGAGACTCTTCATCTCTTCTGAATGGTCTTCCTGCCACTGGTCTTTATGGCTTCCCATCCAGCCACCATAGTATCCACCAAAACAACCTTTCTTTTAAAAAAAATCATACCTTTCCTCTGCTCACAAATCTCGAGTGGCCCGCCATGTCGCTGGGGGAGTTGCAGCTCCCGGGCACAGCCTTCGGAGGCTTGCACAGGGCAACACTTCAGCCTGGCCCCCCTCCTGCTTTTCAAACTGTGCCAGGCTCTCTCAAGATTTCGTTTCTTCACATATATGCTCTTTTGGTCAGGACACTGTCCCCAGACTTCTCTAACTGTGTGATTCTTTAACTTTTTGCAAAACATGGCCTAACCACTGTTCCCTCTAAAAAGCCAGATGTCTAGTGAGGCTGCACATCTTCCTGTGACTGTGGGCCAGCTGCGTCCCCTGTCATGTGGATTGTCTGTGACACTGCCTCTATTGGATTTGGGTGTTGTGTTGATTCGTTTTGGAAGAGCAGGCACCTGTGTACAGTGTCCCAATTTCACACCTGTATGCAGCAGCCCCAGGTATACAGAAAAACATCTCCCTGTTTTAGATAGCTGTTGCTTCTCTACCCTTAACACGCGTATACAAAGCATCTCAAAATAGAACTTAGTTGACAGATTGGATTTAGGCCGTGAAGGAGAGGGAGCAAAGGTTTGCGAGTCTCTGCTAGAAATAGGATCTTTAAGAAGCGGGGAGGTCCCAGAGAAGGACCTGAGTCTGGTTTGGACATACCACACGTGGAGTGATAGCGGTGGGACTTTCATATGCAAATGGACTAAAGCAGGGATGTGTACACGCTGGCCTGGGGACCAAATCCAGCCGCACCCCTTCATTTAGCTCTCTGTGGCTGCTTTCACACCAGAGGCAGAATCGAGTAATGCAACAGACTCTGCAAAGCCGCAAATGCTTCCCATCTGGCCCTTTGCAGAAACCATTTGCTGACCCCACTCTAAAGGCATCTTCTTGGCGCCATGCATACAGTTCAGAGAAGTTAATGGGGACCTTATGTCTCTCCTGATGGCAGTAGATAAATTCTTAACAGCCAGCATGCCGTTCCTCCCTCTGGCCATTTCAGTGCGTGCTGTTCACCGGCTACTGGAGCATCGCCACCACGGCATCGCCTGGCCCTCCACAGAGCACCCCATCACACAGCTGACCAGCTCCATCCTCCGGCGCGTGAATGAGGCTTCTGGGCTCTACCAGATGTTCAGTGTACTGGCCGATGTCGTCCTAGTGAAGGAGTGAGTCCCCACCACTCTCCCTTCTGCCTGCCTCGCCTGTCCTAGCTCTTCCCTTCCTCTTCCAGGTGTGGAATAGCCAGCCTAGCGGTTCCTTCCTCAGTAAAGCCCGAGGAGGGATAGAAGTGGGCTGTGGGGATTTATTCAGAGGAAAAATCGGTGAAATTAAGACCACAAACCCTGCAGACAGACAGACAGACCTGGGTGCGAATCCTAGTTATGCCTCTTTCCACCCGTGTGACCTTGGGCAAGTTAGTTAGCCTCTCTGAGCCTTTCTGGCATCTGCAAAATGGGGATGACAGCCCCTACCCTGCAGGACTGTAGGAAGGAGTGGCGGCAACGCGTGGAAAGCATTCGGCACCAAGCAGGTGAGCGGTGACTGCACCGTCAGTCTGATTTAAGAATTCCCTAGGGCCAGGACCGAGTTGGCTCCTATCAGTCACTTGCTAAGGGGACACTTCCTGAGCAGGGAACAGTGTGGAAGGGAGTAGACAGGCCTCAAAGGACAGGCGGCAGGCGAGGAGCAGAGGAAGGAGGAAGAACCTTCAGGGAGCAGCCTGGTCCAAAGCACACGAAGTTCAGGGACTCATAGGACATTCAGCGGGAAATCCCCTATCGTCCTTGATGCCTCTGTCACACCCCTCATTCACACTGCGTCAATCCCATCAGCTCTACCTTCAAATTGTGTCTGGAACCCGACCGCCTCTCACTAGCTCCACCCCTGCCACCTTGATCCGGACCACCAGCATTTCTGACCTGTACTGGTATAGCAGTGGTCGGCTCTCAACTCGGTGGCCGGGTGACCCTTTTAAAACATGAGTCACGTGAAGTCTTCTCTGCTCAATACCCTCGAGGGGCCAGTGGCTTCCCTTCAATCTGCATGAAACCAGAAGTTCCCACCATGGCACAGCACACACAAGCCCTCTTCGACCTGCCCCCACGGACCTCCTCAACCCTCTCTCCTGCCCCTTCCCCTCAGCTCCACTCAGCCACCCTGACCTCCTTCCTGTCCCTTGAACACACCAGGGCATCCACCCTGTCCCAGGCTTTCCCGTTACTCTTTCCTCAGCCTAGGTCACCCTGTCCCCCGATAGCCACTGCATCTTACTCAGTTTTCCAGTATCCACCCCACGTGTAAGTCGGCTCAGCTGTTAGGTAATAGGAAAGTGAGATGTGTGGGGCTGATCAGAGTCTGCACGCTGTTTGGTGGTTGCTTCTTGGAGGGAGAGAGACACACACCCCCACATGGCACACACTCACCTCTCGTCTCTGCCAGCACCGAGGGTCTTCCCGCCTACTTTGCCGTTATCCCCAGGAACGCCGCAGCATTTGAGTACCTGGAGGAGTTCCCCATGCAGATGCTGGCCCAGCTGGAGGCAATCACAGGAAGGAAGGCCAGGCACGGGCTCTTCGTCATCAGCATGGAGTACGGCAGGAATTTCTCCGGGCCCGACAAGGACGTCTTCTTCTATGATCGGTCCGTGGGGCACACGGAAGACGCCTGGCAGTCCAACTTCCTCCACCCTGTCGTCTACTACTACAGGCATCTCCCCACCGGTAAGCTGGTCCCTGCCTTCCCCTGAGCATGAGCTTTCTTGAGCTGGTGCCCCTCGGACTTCACTGTGTCTCAGGTTGTCACCTGATTAAGCCCTCGCACACTCTGAGCTATCAGAGGGGGACAACTGGGTACTCTGCCCAGAGACCAAAGAGGGCAGAAGGTCCAAGAATGGTAAGCGATTTCCCAGATTCTGGGCTATACCATGACCTGGGCAGGCCACGCATGGAGTGTCGTGCCCCAGGTACCACACAGTAAGAGGAACACCGTCTTGCTGTGTGTCCCCAAAGGAGGCTGACCATGGAGTGGGGCGAGGGGACTTGGAGAGTGACTGTTAGAAGGAGCAGGGAAAGGAACTGGAGCCGGTTAACGCAGGACTGTAGTAACAGAGTACAGAAAAGCCGCGCAGTATTCCCACGTCTGTCCTTGCCTGGCTGTGTAACCTCGGACCACTTTTAACCTCTCTGAGCCTCAGCATCCTCATCTGTAAAGTGGGGCTAATAGACCCTCCTTGCAGAATTATATGAGGGTGAATGAGATAATATATACAGAATGCCAGCATGGTACCTGGCACAGAGGAGCTACCAAGAGATAAACCGCCCAAGGAACACAACTCCTGCTTCAGAACTTGAAAGACTGTCACTTAGAAGAGGACGATCTAAAAATAGGATGATCTAAAAAGGGGCAGAGGTAGGATCAACAGGAGAAGTGACAGGACACAGGTTTACATTCATCATAAAAAGCAACTAAGAGTCAAAGCCATCCGTCAGTGGGTTTCCCAGCACAGGGATGGTGGGGTCGTGACCTGAGGCCATCTGTCTGGCAGGGACACCACGAAGGGAGTCCACACCAGGTAGGAAGTGGGCTAGATGAGCTCCAAGACCCCTTTGGATTCAGGGCCCAAGTCCCCTCACAGACCAGTTCTGAAGCAGCCACAACAGACCTCAGTCCATGTGAGTCTTAGAAGCACACCAAGTTCAAGTGATTACTCTTAGTTCTGCCCCCTGATACCACAAGGGACAAGTCTTGTCCTGCTTTCTCATGCTAACCTGCCAAATATTTGGAGATGGCTGTTGACCAAGCTGACCACAACCGGCACAGAGGTGTATCAGGAAGGCCGGGGGGGGTGGGAGGGAAGGAAGGAGGGAGGCACTGGGGACGTGCGGGAACCATGCCATCCACTCCGGGATGGGAAGCCCAGCCTCTGGGCTCTGACGCGGCCCGACCTCTCCCCCACAGAGCAGGAGGTCAGGTTCCGCCCCGCTGACTGGCCCCTGCCTCGGCCCACGGCTATCCACCACATCGTGGAAGACTTCTTGACAGACTGGACCGCCCCACTGGGCCACATTCTACCTCTGCGGCGCTTTCTGGAGAACTGTTTGGACACTGATTTGCGAAGCTTCTATGCAGGTAACTTAAGTTCCCAGAGGGACAAAGGGACTGGGCTAGAGGTTGAAAGGGGACAGATAGAACCATGCCCTGAGGAGTTTAAAGCACTGGCAAGAAAATAAGTTAACTTCCCAGAGGCCAGATAGGAAAATAAGTTAACTTCCCAGAGGCTAGATAGGAAAAGCATGAACCCAAGCTGGTCGTGGGTTACCTGCTGGTCATCAGTAGCCTAGAGCCTGGGTAACTGAGCAGCTCTTGCGGTTGAGAAGGTGAGGCCGGAGCAGGGTGAGAGGTCTGTTTAGACACCCTCCAAGGAGCTTGGATCTCAGTACATAAACTAGGAGGCAAAAAAACACTCCCCAGAGGGAGACGGTGGAGACGCATGCTTGTCAGCTCTGGGTAGGCTGGCGGGAAATCTCCCCTGAGAATTTCCAACCACTAGGCCTCGGTCATGGGAGTTTGGGGCCAAACTTCATACCAGCACTGAGATGCAGAAATGACAGAAGTAAATCAAGTCTTCTGTGAAGAAACACACTTTAAAACTAGGCCACACACACAAAAAAATTCCCACAAATAAAGTTACAAGGATCATGAATTCCCAAGCAAAAAATCACTTAACACATAAGGACTCACACCACCATGAGGGAGTGTCAGCAGAAACAGCAAACTGTAGGACCAAACCAAAAAGACTGTGGGAATTAGAATGGTCAGATAGAAGATATAAAGTTTGTCTAAATTATGTAAAGAAATAAAAAAGATTATTGAAAATACAATTGACTGGATAGTTTTGAGAAAGATCCACATAAAACTTCTGGAAATGAAAAACTAAATTTGTAATTAGAAGCTCAACATAAAAATACAGACAGAGATAGAGAACTGGTGAACTGGACGATAGCGCCGACAGCCAGGCCCACAGAGGGATCCGGGGAGAGAAGCCTAATGATCCAGAGAGAGAACAGACTGAAACAAGTCAAATTTTTGTCTGCTTTTTTTTAACCCCTGAATGCCCAGGATATCTACTCTTCTGTTCGACAAACATCTGTTGAACACCAGTTGTATATCAAGCACTATTCATATCAGATCAAATTAGAGAAATAGTACCCTGGCCTACAGGTCAGAGAGGAAGTGTCCTCATTTCATCCCCAGGTGGCATCCTCAGTCCACTTTGAAAAAAAAAGTATATATTAAGGGAGATAGCTTAAAACAATAGGTTAAACGAATAGTCTAAACATATGTAGACACCCAGAGGTAATTCATAGAGCAGAGAACTAGCATTCTGCAAACTATCAACCTTGACCATATACTTACACATGAAATTACATGTTATAGCTCTAGAGACCTGAACTATAAAATCTCATCCTGTTTCTTAAGGTTTCGGGAGTATGCAAAGATGCCAGTGCCTCTTAGGGAGTATATTCCTACCCTGAATTATAGCTCCTACCAAAGCATTGTCACAGGCCCTATAGCCTCCTAACTACTGTTCAACAGTACACGCCACTATGTGTCACTGCCTTGAGCTTGGAAGAATCCTCCTGGCAAAGGACCAGCTGGCAGAAGGTGGGCTTTCCCTCTGCCCTATTAACTGATGTGCAGCTGCTAGTTCTGGCCCCAGATTCTGCTAAACTTCTCTGCCCCATGGCCCCTGCAGAAGGGGTGATGTACGCCATCAGAAGGTGATACTTGACAGCTACCCTGCTGCCTCTCTACCAGCCTCCCCCGACATCTGCCGGCTGGCTTGCTCAGAGAGGATTGTCATGGCCTGTTCTGCCAAGGGCCCTCTGTGCTCTAAGTCAGAAATAAAGTAGGAGATATTTGTGTAGCGCTTTACAGCCTGTTCACCTATGTAAGCTCACAGCATGCTTTGCAATGTACCCGTTTTTTTGTTGGTTTTTTTTTTGAGATAAAAGATTCATGCTGTTTTTCTGACACTCTATCTTCCCATCCTGTCCTTATATGCCTCAGAAGACTGAGCCCATATCTGTTTCATCTTTTCTTTTTTTTTTTTTAATCAAAGTTACATAATACTTGGCTAAAAGGCTTTTTTCCCACTTTCATTCTCATTCCCCAGAAGAAACTACTTCTAGCTCTTCTGGTTGTTTTTTCATATTTCTAAATAATAAGTATCACACGATTTCCTGATTGGTCAGATTTGACCTACGCACCAACTGTGCTGTGGCACAGATGAGGATAAATCATAGACGCGGACTGACCAGTTTTGTCTTTGTAATCCCCACGGTGCTGAGCACAAGGCCCACACACGGCATTTGCAACTTCAGTATTATTGAGGAAATAAATCTTTACAGGCAGCTCTCAGCTCAAAACGGGACTGACCACCAAGTTCCTGGCCCACCTGGGCTAGCTTCCCAGAGGGCTGAGGGTCCACTCCCGAGCCGCGGAGCCCCTACCCCGGCCTGGCTCCATGCAGAGCATGCTGCCGGGCCCAGCCTCTGGGAGCTGAGTCATTTCTGTGGTTTGCTTTCATTTCTGAGCCTTGTTCCTCCCAAAAGTCAGGGCAGCCTATTTTTGGAACATCGGGAGGAGGGTAGGGAGCCAGGTTCCATGACACTCAGGTCAGACATGAGGTACCCAGAAAAGTCAGCTCCAAGCTCAGGGATGGAAGGGAATGGGCAAGGACCCCAGAGCACCAGGAGCTCCTCCTCCTGCACCTCTCCCCACACCTCTGAGCCCAACTCATTCATCTCCTTTTGCTTTTGTGTAGAGTCCTGTTTCCTGTTCACCCTAACACGCCAGAAGCTGCCGCCCTTTTGCCAGCTGGGGTATCTGAGAACGCAGGGGCTGGTGGGAACCGAGAGCCTCCGGCAGCACAGAGTGGAGCGTGGGCTCCAGCAGGACTACGCCACTGCGGGCAAGCACAGGGAGGACAGTGGCCAGTGGCCTGGCTCCCATGGGCCAGTAGGTCACCCCCAAAATCCAGGGCCTCTGGTCCAGCCCCTCAACAGCAATAAGGAAGAGCTGTGACAGCCAGGCCTCTCCCACCCAGGCCCACGTCAGCCCTCTTCCCCACGCGCCCCGACGTGAGACTGCTAAAGACCACTCAGGTCATTGCAGTGACGGCACCGAAGCCACACACAGGGCATGTAAGGGCTGAAGGGCGGCCACGCTGTGGTCTCCTCCCCTCCTGTTCAGTCCTTAGGTGGCCAGGAGGCGAGGTCCAGAGAAAGGCAGCCTCTGCCAGGTGAGAGCCACCTTCCACAGCCCAGCTTGCCCACAAGTGAACTGTCACCAAGCACCAGGCTGGCCTCAGTTCTGTGCCCATCAAGTGCCCTGTGGTTCTTTTTCCTTCTGGTCTCCTCTTCAGAGGGGCCCAGATCCCGCCCATCCATGGAGCATTTCACAGGTAAAACCCATCCTCATCTTCATAAGGGTTTGTGTCAGGCTCTTTAAAACAAGCTCTAATATCCTTGATCGTATAGAGCAGGTAGGACTATCACCCGCAATGAAGGCACCAGCTCAGAGAGGCTAGGTGACTCCCAGGGTCCCAGCCAGAAGTCCCTACTTGGTCCACTGCACCACAGCTGCTTCGCCCCGCCCCTCTCTGGTTTCAGAAAGGGGGCTGGGAGCTGGGCTAATCCTCACAGGCCCAGAGGCTATCATCTGCCAGATAGTCATCTTATCTGAGCAGGTTTCAGCCCTGAGCAAGGATTCCCCAGACTGAACTGCCTGACTTATCTTCTGTCTCTGTGCTCTTCTTTCCTCCTGCCCCCTGGCATCCTGGACAACACCTGGCCTCTGGCCTGGCCCATCATGTTTGGTAAAACTGTCACCACGCGGTCTTTCAGTGGGCATTCTTTTGGAGGTGATTCACCCCGCTGTTTGAACAGAGCCCAGCTCAGCTTGTGCAGACATTTTATAAATGCATTTGTATAAGGATGATGAATTCAGTTTCCGGTTCCCTTTGCTGTTCTAGTTCTTCATTGTCCTTCCTCACCAGGAACCTGTTCCCTGCTTTCCCCTCTTGTCAGGCATTTCAGTCCTATGATGAGTGAGCCATGGGAAAGCATTTGTACATAAAATAATCATGGTGATTTTTCAAGGCCCGGGATCATAACTGATTGCTTTCTCACTGGTTCTTATTAGCCCTCCAGGTAGCCACCCGGAATTCAAGGGATGCAGACTTTCTGGCTCCACCGCCTTTTTCCA